CGTACTGTTGAAGACAATGCGATGTATTCTGCTTCTGTGCTTGATAAAGCAACTATTGGTTGCCGTTTGCTGCACCAACTTATAGCAGCATTGGACATTTTTAATACATAGCCGGAACACGATCTTCTGCCGTCGATTTCTGCTGCCCAATCAGCGTCACTAAATGCTGCCAAGTTGACATCATCAGTTTTTCGATAGCTTAGTTTGAAATCAATTGTGCCTTTTAAATATCGAAATATTCTTTTCACAGCTTGCCAATGCTCATTTGAGTGTTTTAAGTTAAACCGGCTTACATTATTTACTGCAAATGCTATATCCGGTCTAGTTCCTTGTGTTAAATATAAAAGGCTGCCCACAGCTTCTTGGTATGGTATTTTCCCCGTCAGATCATTTTTCTCAGTGATGCATTTTTCAGTCAATTTTTGACTTACTTCACATGGTGTGCCCACTGGCTTACAATCCTGCATACCAAACCGTTCAAGAATTTCATTTATATATGACGATTGATCTAGTGTAATTTCGTCGCAATTTTTGCTCTGCGTGATACGTATTCCAAGACAACTTTGAGCAGATCCCAAATCTTTCATTTTGAATTTTTTGTTAAGGTACTGCATTAGTTTTTCTAGGTTATTACTACCTTTGTAGAGTATAAGGAAATCATCGACGTATATTGCAATTATCAGATTCAATTCTTTATCATAGTAAATGCATGGATCAGTTTTACACCTTTGTAACCCGAATTCTTTTAATGCTGAATCGAGCTTTAAGTTCCACTGTCTTCCGGCTTGTTTCAGTCCGTAAACAGCTTTGTTTAGCTTACATACCTTGTTAGTGCCATCATTGTAACCTTCTGGTTGTTCCATGTATATTGTTTCTTTAAGATCACCTTGAAGAAACGCAGTCACTACATCCATTTGATGGATTTTATAGCCGTTTTTTACTGCTAAAGCCACTAAAAACCTTATTGATGTGTATCTAACCACCGGCGAGAATGTTTCATCATAATCGATGCCGTATTTTTGTGCACAGCCTTTTGCAACAAGTCGTGCTTTATATTTTACAGCTTTACCGACCTCATCTTGTTTTACTTTAAAGACCCATTTTGCTTTTATAGGCTTTCTTCCATCTGGTAGTTTCATCAACGACCAGGTGTTATTTGATCTATGTGATTCCATTTCTTCATTCATTGCATCTTCCCATTCTTTCGCTTTTTCACCGTTTATAGCTTCTGATACTGTTAATGGCTGTGAAAGAAATGCAAAAGCATTAAATTGAAAAGATGGTACAGATACCTTAGCTTTAGATCGTGTGACTCTTCTTTCTTCTTCAGATTCATCAATACTTTGTTCAGGAACATAATCTGGATCATTTTGGGTTTGATTCGGTGATTCTATCATGGTGTCTTCATCGCTTCTCTTTATTTCCCTCACTTCGTCGTTATAGATTTTTAAGGTCGACTTTGGTTGAGGTTTTTCGTAGAATATTACATCTCGACTTATAACCAGTTTCTTTGTTATTGGATCAATACAGCGAAAACCTTTAATGTCGTCATCATAGCCCACGAAAAACATTTTCTTGGATTTAGGATCCCATTTTTTACGTTTTTCTTTGTTTATGTGAACCATTGCTTCACAACCAAACAATTTCAGGTTAGATATGTCTATTTTTTTTTTATAGAATATTTCATCAGGAATTTTTCCATGCGACGAACAAATACTTTTGTTGATTAAGTAGGCTGCCATATTTGTTGCTTCTGCCCAATAACATTTTTTAAGATTTGCATCAAACAGGAGACATTTAGCTTTTTCAATTAAGCTTCGGTTCATTCTTTCGGCAATTCCATTCTGCTGAGGAGTATATGCATTACTTAATTGATGCTTGATACCATTCTCTTTACAGTATTTGTCGAATTCAGTTGAACAATATTCACCACCATTGTCCGTCCGTATTGTTTTGATTTTAGATCCAGTTTGGCGTTCAATGTATGTTTTGAAATTTTTAAAGTTATTGAAAACTTCTGATTTTGACTTGAGAAAGTAAACGAATAATTTTCGGGAGAAATCATCTATGAATGTTAATACATATTTGGCGTGTCCTATAGATTGCGTTTCCATAGGTCCACATAGATCAGAATGTATTAGTTCGAGTAGCTTTGTTGTTTTTGAGTTACTTTGTTTAAACGGAATTCTTGTTTGTTTGCCTTTGGGACATATCTGACAATTTTTTATTTCATGATCGTCGTCATTGAAATCAATACCAGAAACAGCGCCGTCACGCATTTTCTTTAAACTTTGAAAATTTATGTGTCCAAGTCGCCTGTGCCATAGCATTGCGTTATTTGTTTGTTTTGATAACAAGCATTTTGCTTGGATTCCCTTCAGTTTGTAAACACCATTTTCCGCTTTGCACTGTACAATTACTTCTTTGTTTTTGTTAAGTATTGTACAGCCTGTTGCATCGAATTTTATTACATTCCCCTGACTCACTATTTTTGCAGCTGACAGAAGATTTACTGATAAATCGGGCACGTGTAGAATTTCGTTAACTACAATTTCTTGCCCGTTGATATTCAGTGATGTTTTGCCAACGCAACTTACTGTCATAGCTGTTCCATTTGCTGACATTATTTTGTCAACGAGTGAATTTTTTTTGCTAGTGAGCAAATTATCGTTTGGTGTCATATGAGACGATGCACCACTGTCTAGATACCAGTCGTCGTTATTTCTTTTCGTTAATAACGCTGTGAATGCATTTTTTGCTGTGCCATTTTGTGCATTATTTTTCTTGTAGTGACATTCCCCTGCATGTTTCTTTCCACAAGTTGTGCATTTTTTCTTTTGTAAGTATTTTTGCTTATTTTCGTACCTTTTTTTTACTAAGAAATGCATCACTTTTTGTGGTTGTGTTGGTATCAGAGTCCAACAGTTTAGCGATTATTGTTTCTGATTTTATTTGTGAGTCTGATGCTTCAATTCCCATTATAAATGGTTTATATGCATCAGTTAAACCAGCCAATACTATCGCCGTCAGCCAATCCTCATTTATCTCAAAACCAATTTCATTTAATTTATTAGAATTATCTTTAATTCTATCAATGTATGATTGCATGTTCTCGCAGTCTTCTAATCTGCAAGAGATCAGGCCTCTTAATAACCCAATTTTTCTTGTTAAGCCTTTGTCCTCATACAGATTTTTTAGTTTCTGCCATATTTCTAGCGCTGTTTCACATCTGGATATGTGAACGTACAGCGATGGCGCTACGCTTAGAGCTAACAGGGCTTTGCAATTAGTTAATTTCTCAGCGTTTGTTTCTGTGACAGGATCGGTTATACACTTATGCAGACCTTTGAATGCTAATATATTTTTTATTGCGAAACACCAGTTGTGGAAATTTTCCTGGCCTTTGAGTTTCTCTACTTCAAAACCCTTTTCCATTTTAACTTATAATTTCACTTATAAATTTTATATATATGTATATGTATATTAATTCAAAGTCTTACTTGAAGCGTTATTTTATTTTTATTATTACAGCAGATTTTGCACTTTTGATTTTTATTTTATTTATTTAATTCCGACACCCGACACTACAGCAGTAACCTTGCTCTGCTACCATGTAGAGA